GATGGACTCACAGCAGCAGCACGAAACTTGGGTGCTCGTGCGACGCACGGAGGCCAAGGGCAAGCGTGTCATTTCGTGCAAGTGGGTGTACGCGCTCAAGAGAGACTCTACGGGCCGGATTAAGCGATATAAAGCTCGACTAGTGATCAGAGGCTTTCTACAACGCATGGGCATCGACTACAGTGAAACATACGCACCTGTTATCAGATTTGAGACGATCAGATGCGTGATCGTATACGCGCTGCAACGCGGATGGGCCATCTTGCAGTTCGACGTCAAGACCGCGTTCTTGTACGGTGACCTCGACGAGGAGGTCTACATGGAGCAGCCTCCAGGCTTCGGAGAAGACTCTACGCGCTACGTATTCAAGCTACAGAAGCGTTTGTATGGGCTAAAGCAAGCGCCTCGCGTTTGGAACAAGACATTGCTTTAGTTCCTGACGAAGATCGGACTCGAGCGCCTCGACTCTGACTACGGACTCTACGCCAGGAAAGTGGGAGGAGAAGTCACCATGTTGCTCACGGTGTACGTCGACGACCTACTGCTCCTCGGCCCTAATGACCTTTGCGCTAAGGTTGCTATGCAACTCAGTGAGGAGTATGAACTCACATCTCTCGGACCACTCAAGTATCTACTAGGCGTGGAGATACTGATCGACAGCGAGCGTCGACATGCGGTATTTTGCCAGCGGCAACATATTACGGAGGTGCTAAAGCGATTTCACATGGAGGGGTGCAACGCGGTTGCAACACCGGAAGCGCTGCGCGCTGAGGTGGTCACAGATGCGAAAGATGACTCCCCGCCCCCGTACCGAGAGCTCGTTGGTGCACTACAATATCTGGTCTCAGCCTCAAGGCCGGACATTGCGCACGCTGTGCGTAATCTCAGCAAGTACCTGTCCTGCTTCGACCACACACACTACGCTATGGGAAAGAGGGTGCTACGCTACCTGAGTGGTACTCAAGACCACGGCTTAGTGATGGACATTGTTATTGGGAACGACGTCAAGCTGACGTGTTACACCGATGCTGACTACGCTAATGACCCTGATGACCGAAAGAGTGTTAGCGGGTTCGTGACGTTCGTCAATGGTAACGTGGTTTCGTACGGATCAAGAAAGCAAGAGATTAACGCACAGAGCACAACGGAAGCAGAGTATATTGCCATGAATGAAGGCACTAGAGATCTACAGTGGCTACGTGGACTCTGTGAAGAACTATGCTGGGAGTTCGCGACTCCGGAGATTATCGGCGATAACAAGTCGTGCATCTATCTGACTGCCAAGCCTGGCAAGCACAGCAAGAACAAGCACATTATGAACAAGTTCCACTTGGTGCGCCACCTCGTGGAGAACGAGCAGCTACGGATTCGCCATGTTGGCACCGACGACATGATCGCCGACGCGATGACGAAGCCATTGCCGAAGGACAAGTTCGAACATTGCCGTGATGGGATGAAGGTGCTGCGCATCGACCGTCAGCAAGGCTCAGCTCGTTCAGTGGGAGCCAAACATCATCGCCATGCGTGAATGCAAGCTACTACTACCCGTTCATGCATGCGAAGGACAAGAAGGAGGAAGAGCGCTACCAAGGACGAAGCGTCGTGCTGCAGCGCAGCTAGAAGATGCTAAGGACATCGTGGTGAGCTCTACAAGGTGATCATGTTGAAGCTGCGCTTCGACTAGATCAAGTGGGAGTGTGAAGTGTGGAGGAAGAGCCAGGACTGCGTCCAGCTCAAACCTGAGGCTCAGGTGCCTCCAGGACGCGATGCTCGCGTCCAGAAGCCGGACTTCGACGGACCATTGGCTGGCGAGCCGCCAGCCCCATCCTACTGCTAATCCTACCAATATATGTTACCGGGGTTTTTCCGTGTGCTGCTACACACTCGACAACTTGCGCCGTCAAGAGCAAGCAGCAGCACTCGGTTTTCTCCCCTGCTGGACTTTCAGTCCCTGCAACTTACTGTTGTTACGACTACTTCCTTCATCACAATGGTCACCACTCGGCGTAGCCGAGGAGCGACCATCACTCACTTCTGCGGTCATCTTGGCTTTGACTTCATCACTGCGAGTAGAGAAATGTAGCAGCGCCGATAACACGTGCTGCTTTTCAGGTAGAACGTCGCCACATAATACTTGAACCAAAACAGAAATCCCACCGGCAGCTTTAATAGCAGCTTGGTTGTCACAAACAGTTGCAAGCTTTGCCAGCGTATCCCCAGCCTTCACTCTCACATCAGAATTGCCCTCTTGCACCAACTGCACCAAAATAGCAATATCGGGAATTGCTACTCGGTCAGGGATCTCAGATACATTCCACAGTATACCGCTGGTGAGCTCTTTCTGAGACTTGTTACCTTCCTTCAGAAGTTTCCCCACCACGGGGATTGCACCACGAGCGACGACTTCTTTGCACTTGTCATTCCCTGACAACGCCCTCAATGCAGCAAGTGCGTGGTTCCGTTGAGCAGATGTACCACTCTGCATTAATTCCACCAGCAGATCAAATATGCCTGCCTTTGCCGCAATGGCTGCTTGAGTGTCACGAGTAGTCGCCAGTGCCGCCAACACTCCAGCGGCTTCTTCTCTCTAGTCCGGATTTCCCTCTCGGACCAATCTTATGAATAAAGTAATTCCTTTAGCAGCAACAATTCTCAGTCGATTGTCTACGTTCCTCGGCAAATTCAGCAGCGCAGTTGCCGCGATTTCCTTTTGAATGTCGTTGCCATGCTGCACCAATTCCACGAGCACTTGAACTCCACCAAAAGCTCCGATTTCCCCTTGAATTTCATCGTTTGCGGAAAGTTTCGACAGTGCCAGCGCGGCGTTTGTCTTCGTCGACGCTTTCCGTCCCGCACCAACGCTACCAACGCCGGGACGCCATTTAGACCGGCGATTCTAATGTGGTTCGCCTCGTCATCGGCCAATGTCGCCAATGCTGTTGCTGCCTGTTTCTTCTGGGACGATCGGCCTTTTGTTAGCAGCGTCACCAACTCGGGGATTTTCTCCTGAGAAGCTTCAATTGAGTGGCCATGCCCCATGGCGCAAAGTGGCAGTTGCACTCATGGCAGTGGGTACATTTTGATTCACTGGCGTTTCTAATGACCGCCAGAATTTCTAAATCAAAGCACGCTCGTAAAAAAAAGATGCTCGATCTAATTTTTATTTCGCAAATGTGTGAGGACTTTTTTCTTAACTCATTTGAAAAAAAAATACTTTTTGACATGCGAGTACTTTTTACCAGCATTTTTTTTAAATGAGATATTGAAAAATACGTTTTAAAAAGCACACCGGCTGGAGCAGCATTCGTGACCAAGGGCTAACATTATATTTAATGATCAATTTTTGGTAAGTTTGTGTTCATTTAAAAGTGATTGACACGCCAGCTGGAAAATACCTACATCGTGTTGTATCCATCATCCGTGGAGCTTGGAACCATTAGATCCATATTTCTACCGCAGTATGCTTACGATCGTGGTACTCGTTCTACGCAACCTCCCTGCTGTTGAGGCTCTCGAACAACTATTTCCAATTACTTAGGACCACGTCGAAGCCTCAAATTCAGTAAAGCGTGCCAATTTGGATCGATTCGACCACTCGACTGGATTTGGAGTATTTGCTGCACGACTTCTTCTGCCAGGACACCAGGGTGGTCTCTCACTAACTATTTTCGGGCTACTACAACTGGCAATTCTCGGAGTCACTGGAAGTTGCCGCTGGTAGAGGAGACGAACCAATAGTTGAGTGGCTTTTTGCGCATTTTTCGGGATGCGTGGCCCCTGCAAGTGTCTGCAACACAGCACAAGAAAAGGGATTTGCACGCGTTCTTTGGCTTTTATGGAAGCACCGAAACCATCGTCAAGGTTTCGATGCCGGAAGATGTACGAGCAGCGTTGGTGAAGCGGGCATGGAGCGTGAATGTACGATAAGTTCACGAGAGGTATTTGGAATGTCAATGCATTTAGAAAAAGTGTCGCGAATGGGCAATTCGTCGCGTGTGTGAACGAATGCATGAATATTGACGATACAACTCGAGAGGCCGCAGTCAAGTACGCTTTAAAACTAGGACAGTTTGAGCTTGCACAGAGACTGTGGCCAGAGGCTGGTGCGTGTTGGATTTTGCTGCCTATTGTTCAAACATCGAAATGATCGAGTGGATGTATGCATGTGGGTATATGCGACGCCATGAAAGACTTGCAGCATCGTCGATACACATTTTACTTTCAGGTGAACAATTTAGAGCTGGCCAAAATGGTTTTAATGCAGCACTCCCCGCTTCCTGAGTATCAGGAGGATTGGGGATGGAATCGCACTTTAACAGTGGCGTGCACCACCGGAAATGAAGTAGCGCTGCCGTGGCTTCTTGATCATCCTCTGGGTGACAAAGCGTGCAAGCCAAGGGGGAAAATCGAATCGATCAGTGCGTTGCTCTGTGCAGGTGCTAGAGGTAGGCATTTCTAAGTTATGGAGTATCTACGTGGCCGTGGATTGGCGTACAATGCTGGTGTAGCTATGAAGGTTGCGATTGATGTGGGGCCAGGCAACCTCCGTGAAGTGGCTTCTCCGAAATTATACATGAAGAGGCTTAACCCGATCGACAAACCAGATTCTAAATTTTTCCATGAGTTCGACTCGTAGTCTTCTTTTAAAATCGCAGACTCCAAGCGAGCACGAACGGATCCTGGTGGCCGTGCGCAGAAGATTTCATTTTTGGGCGGCAAAAAGAGGCCAAATCGCCGTACTTGAATGGATCCAATCGAATTGAGCCCAGAAATGTCGTGCTACTGCCATGGATGTTGCGGCAGGCGAAGGCCACTTGGACGTTGTGAAATGGCTGCACACGAATCGATCTGAAGGCTGCACCGGTACGGCGATGTATTGGGTGGCCCAAAATGATCACTCAGAGATGGTCAAGTGGCTGTTTGCGAACATTCCTGCGTCTCGTTATCCCTCGGCAGTTGACAGAGCGATAATGTCCGGTCATTTCCGCGTCGCAGATTGGCTACGCTTGCGCTTTCCTGATTACACGATAGGCCCTATCATAGGGAGCTCGCACCATTTGTAAGCCAGGGTTGAAACCAACTTGAACATCTTTAAACTCTGTTGTGGCTACAAGATCATGCCGACTACATATTGACTTCAGATTTTCTGAAAAGTGTGCGAAGCGAAATCACTGCATGCTATCAATTCAAGTACTATCCTGACTATGAACAGGTTTTATTCAAGTGGTTGACTGAAAACTCTCCCAACGAAGCTACAAACTGACTGCTCAAGCTATTGGCAAATCTAGCGATAATGGGCATTATTATTCTCTCGAAGAGCTGCAAACGACTTAAATCAAGTGTTTGAGTAATGCAAATTCAAGGTTAGCTTTTACTTTGAAGTTTCTTTCTTCTTCCACTCCTGCTTACCGAGTACAGCCATAAGCAGAAGAATCGCTTTTAGCAAAGAATAGTATCGAGAAAAGCTCGCCGTTTCTTGAAAAAGATTCCACTGAGGTCACGATCGCACAAGTCGCTCAACACGGATCGTGTGCCCTGGTACAGCATCCGCTCGCGCTGCACTAACAAGTTACACCACTCGGCATCCAGGCCGTGTCTTCCTGCGATTCTCTGGATACGGCGAGCAGTACTAATTCCATGAATCAGCTGGTCGTGCGCACATCGACAGTCTAGTAGCTCTTGAGAGTGAGAAGAATCCAAACCCCGAGTGCACGAAGCCTTCCACTGATCGAATAGCCGGTGATTGACCATAATGCTATTCTGTAGCAGGCGGTCAGAGAGCATCGATTGTTCTTGATCAGTATAGTGACCGAAGTTACGAGTATGAAGAAGAGAGTTGACCCATTGATCCCATTTAAGCAACTGGTTGCTTATCCCCCAAAAGTCCGAGTCCTTTTGACCAAGATCGATCAGTGTAGATCCATGACACGAGTTAGAGTTGCGAGTGCACAATGAATCACGTCGACCGGGCCAGAGCGCTCTGCCGTGGTCGCGACTGGACGGAATCTGCGATGTCCCATCGGGCATTAAAACGTACTTCACAGCTTTGGAGGCGTATTCGTCGTTCGCGATACACGCTCCTGTATTGATAGTTACGTTCAGATCCATTGAAACAGACCAGGCGTTGCTCTCGCAATAGCTGGATGTAAGCAGAGCTGCCTTCTTCTTGTCACCCGATACCCAGATCTTCATGACGCCGAGCGTGAAGTAGTGACATTCACCGTCAGCTCTGTACACTTCGCTCGACGTCAGTTTGTTACAATTGCTATCCTCGTAGTGCTCGATCATGAAAACTGGAGAATCCGCAAAAGTAGATCGTAGAAAGGTCTCCCGACTGCTGCTGCACGTGCCGAGTCCGTAATACGTCACGTTACTCCACCCACCCACGTGGTCATATGCAGTGCATGCAAACCGATCAGTACAGCCCCCTTCCTGAATCGTCGCTGTCGAAGGTTTCTCGCACGACGGATCATCATTACCGATCCTGACGCTCACCATACCAGCAGAAGTTGTGGGTATCGGTGTGGACGGTTGTGTAGGCATGGGTGTCGTTGGAGCCAAGGAGTCTCCACGTAGAACGTACTTCACCGCCTCCACTTGGTACTCACTTCGTGGGACACAAGCCCCAGTGTTGACACTCGCGTTTAAGTTCATAAACACAGACCAGTCGTCGCTGTCACAGCTTCCCGATACTAACAGTGCTGTCATCGATTTGTCTTCCGCAGTCCATATCGTCATCGTTCCTAGCGTGAAGTAGTGACACGCACCGTCCGCTAGATACACTTCGCTCTTGACTAGCTTGTTGCAGTTGACGTCCTCGTAGTATTCAACCATAAAGATCTTCGAGTTTGCGAAAGTCGCATCTATTCTTTTATCTCGAGATTCAAAACATGTCCGTTGGCCGTAGTACGTTGTAGTGCCAGAGGCGCCAGCTCCGAAAGCGGTGCAGGTCATAAGGTCGGTATCGTCACAACCTCCTTCTCGAATCGTTAGAGTAGAAGGTTTCTCACAAAGGGAATCGTCGTGGCCAGTGTACACGGTCACTGTGCTGTCAACCGCGATGATGCACCAGGAGAAGGCTATCAATCCCAGTAGGATTGCGGCGCCTACAGACAGGTGGCATGGTGGCGACATTGGGTCAGGTGTGGTCGGAAGTACAGAGACAATTCTCAAATAAACACTGTGGACGAACTTCCGCAAGCACCAGAAAGATCTCAAGGAGCTGTTATTTATACAACTATTTAAAGTTCACAATTCCACTTGGCGAAATCTGTCAAACGGCTGACGCTACGGAAACTTCGCGACCACCCCTTCGGTCTCCTTTTAATGCGAGACGACCACAACGAGTTAGCGTTTGCAGAATTACCGGAAAAGGCGTAATGATAGTCTCGAATCCGAATGGTAATGAAATAAATCGCTCGAAGGAAACATCTAAATATTTAAAGATGCAACGCATCTACCGGAAAAAGCGTAAAGATAGAGAGCCCATGGAAATGAATAAACCTTTCATTTTGTGAGGGTCTAGCGCTACTTCATAGATTTACTTCATTTTAAGAAAACCTTTTTTGTTTAATTCATAAAGGTTCATCGCGACAACCTACCGACAAGAGGAAATGCTGGTGCTTCGTTCGCCTTCTTTGCACTGACCACACCAAACGTAAGTCTTGTGGTGTGGGTGCAGAGATCTGATGGGGCACTGGACAAATAGCACTGCTATAAACGTTGTGTCGCATTAATATAGAATTTTGTTGTGGCCGTATCACAAGGCAATCGTCGCAAACACGGACAAGAACCACCACAAACCAGCTCTGCGTTGTGCTACGCTGATGATAACTGACTTGATGGGTGACTTGGCAGTTATGTGTCGTGCGTACAAGAAACAATAAGGACTTTCGTGAAGAATGCGAAGACAAGTTCTTGAGAATACCGTTAAGAGGATATCACATGGAAACAAGCAGGAAAAGGATAATTCCTCAGTTATTAGCAAGCTCACTTTTGATTCTACTTGCAAAGCGCCATTGACACAACAAATTGAAATTTCAATTGTGTAAAGAAGACCATGGAGGAACAAGACGAGAGACCAGTGAGATTCAAGTCGCAGGGAAGAGTGAAGGGCCTTTAAAAATTAAGCCCTTTCGTGGTGGTGGCTGGAAATCTTGGTTAGAGTTTTAGTTGAGACTCACTCGAGTGCATAGCTTCCTGCGTCTGGACGAAAGCACGGAGTCGATGATAGACCTGCATGAAGTCATCACACAGCTCTTGTCGGGCAACGATCTTGACCAGTTCAACGAACAATACGCAGAGAGTTTAGGTGGGGCTGATCCGTCCAAAGAGATCCTCTCGGCCGCGATGGAAACGTTGGCAAGAAGATATTGTCCCCCAGGAACTCGTGAGATGCTACACGAAGAGCTTCGAAGTCTCCGCAAGACACGGAGCCTCTCGGTGGAGGCGTATAGCACACAATTTAACCATTTGCTAAAGCTCGAATCATGGATAGTTCCTGACGACGGCACCGCATTAACAAACTCGGAAAAGTGTCGGTACTTTAGTGCAAGAATGCCACGCAGTTGGCAGATGCAAGTGATGATTCAGCGACGCTGGAAAAAATTCAACGACCTATACGTGGATTTTGAGCGAGTAGAACAGCGATTGGAGAAAGCTAGCGAGAAGCGAGGAAAGAACAAATCCGCAAGGCGGGACTCGCCTAACCAGAAGGCCAAAGCAGAGTTTAAGCGACCACGACTGGAATTAAAAAGAGGCATCTGGAGGCAGGAGAAGGATGTCAGTATTTTTTTATGTGTGAGGTGTATTGTGTTACCCGCCCAAACGTGTATGTGCCTGAGCCCTAATACCCATTCCCAACTTGCATGATATGCCCGGTCAGGTTGTACCTACTCAGTCTGTACCTGCTGAAGCTTCCTTTCACAATGTCAGTATTGCAAATCTCGGGGAAACGTGTGGAATAAACACAAAAGTGACGCATGTTTTCGTAAACCGGCTTCGCCTCGTTATCGTTCTCGGGTTGGTAAGACGCAAGGAGGAAAGAAACCGCAAGATCGATCCGGCTTCAGAACACCGTGGAGTGGCCATACGGCTGCAGCAGCAGCAATGTTGGTTATGGAGAATGCGGAGAACAGCCGCGATGACCCATTGGGTAATTGGTATTCTACCCAGAATAAAGAGGATCATTGTGCAGCGGCGGGAGCCACATCGATGACAGCGCCAGCGTTACGACTGAAGGTGACTCGGAAACAACCTTTAAGTAAGAAATCATTTACGGCACTAGTGGATACGGGGGCATCTACATCTTTCGTGGCTAAAGAGGTGGTTTCCTGGTTCGAACCTAAAGGAGAAAGGGGGAGCTACCTTGACGTGAACAATAAGAAACACGATAATGTGGGAAAAAAATCAGTTACCTTTCATCCTTCCTGATTTTTCGGATAAGCGGATGTGTACGGAAAGTTTTAACATCGACAAAGTTGCTCTACCCAATCATCCTTGGGTACGATTTCTTGCAGGACCAAGGCGTAGTGCTGGATTACAAAGAGCGTGAGATTCGATGGGATGGAATTTTAATACGAATGGAGCTGAAACCTGAATCCGTAAAACGAGTAGCTTTTGCTTTTATGGATAAAGAAGACCGAGTTTTAAGAGTGTTGGATGCCGAAGCTAGAGAAGTCAACTTGAAGGCTCTCGTATCAAAACAACAGCTGACTGAGGCGACTTTTAGAAGTACTCGGGGTATACCAGGTGGCCTATCTCGAAGGCATAGGATAATTTAAAGGCAACCCATATAAGCTTCCAATGAGGCCGGGAAGTTTTCCTGTGGTCCATAAGCCATATTCAATCCCACTAATTCATCAAGAAGCGGTTTTACGTGAAGTGGAGCGTTTCGCGATGCTAGGCGTTCTCGAACCGGATAAAGATTCACCTTGGGCAGCACCGGTGTTTGTGATACCCAAGAAGGATGGTACTATGCGATTTCTCTCGGATTTTCGTGGACTAAACCGGTGTTTGGAGCGGTTATGCTATCCCTTGCACAATTCAGGAGTAGGTGCGCGACCGAAGTATGTGTCTGCATTAGACTTGGTCATGGGGTATTATAGTCGGGAACTAGCTGAGGAAATCCGTCCTTATATAGCAGTCGTGCTACCTTGGGGGAAATATCGGTATCGTCGACTACCCATGGGAATCAGTAGAGCCCCAGATGAATTCCAGGCTATGATGCAACAGCTGTTAGACGATTTATCGTTCGTTCGTGTTTACCTGGACGATGTATGTCTCGTACTATCAAAATCCTTTGACGAACAACTCAATCATTTGCGAGTCGTACTACAGCGGCTCCAAGATGCGGGACTTATTCTTCACTCGAAGAGAAGCAAATTCTGCATGCAGGAAGTGGAATATTTATGATTTCATCTGAGTGCGGAAGGAAAAAGACCGATCACAAAGAAGATAGATGCTATTATGCAACTGGATCGCCCGAGAAGTATTAGAGATCTACGAAGATTTATTGGGATGGTGAATTACTACAAAGATATGTGGATAGGACGATCGGAAATCTTGGCACCTCTGACGGCTCTTACGTCCAACAAGCGACCATACCAATGGACAGAGCGTGAGGACCTCGCTTTCCAGAAAGCCAAAGACATGATCACACAGGAAGTAATGTTGATTTTGACAAATCGTTTGACATCTATACGGATGCGTCACCACATCAATTAGGTGGAGTGATTATGCAGAAGGGAAGACCGCTAGCGTTTTGGTCCCGCAAATGTAATGCCTCGCAGGAGCATTACACGACGAACAAAAAAGAGTTGCTAAGTGTACTAGAAATATTGCGCGAGTTTTGCTCAATTCTGTGGGGACGTCGGCTGTGAGTATTCACGGACCACAAATATTCTATTCAAGTCACATTCAACAATGAGCAAACACTACGATGGTGTCTGGAGTATGGCCCCGAGATGATATACATTTGAGGCCACGACAACGTTGTCGCAGATGCTCTCTCATGATTACCGATCAAATCAGAGGCCCCTCATGCAAATCTGAGTGCTGTTCAGTCAGACAGCGAAGAATCCCCAGTGTGGTCGCTTTCGCTCGGTGAAATCGCAGAAACGCAGCATCGATCCGGCCTTCACGAAGGTCCGGAAGTTGCACGGCGTACGATCGGCGACACTACGGTGTTTGTCAGCAAAGCCGACGGGAAGATAGTACTGCCACTACTGTAGGCGACATTGAAGATTGGGCCAGAAATTGTAACCCATACTATACAGACTGTAAAAAGTCTAAAAACTGTCTGTTTGATATAAATAAAAGTGCTAGGGCGGTAGAACTCAATCTGCGACCGGGCAATGTGTCATCTTCCTTTTTGACATATGATTTTGATTCTAGACCAATCATATCTGTGTATTTGGCGCGCCTTTCCCCCCAAAATGACAGTGTTCTGAGAAGGCATTTTTAAACGACTGTAGCTCCAAAACGGCTGGGAATTGGCTAAAAATGACCACAAAATCGAAATCTAAACGCATGATTGCACCCTATATCTAAATGTCGAGATAGGTTTTCCTAAATGTAGACCTCTTATGCCTCTCTAGATTCTGGCCCAATGTTCAATGTCGCCTACAATAATAGAGCTGGTATCTAAGGTACTGAATACGTACTGGAGATTAGATTATGCTCGACTCGATAAAGAACGTGATGACGTGGCCAGGCATGACCGAGGCTGTAGGTACGCAATTGTGAGCAGTGTGCTCAATGCAAGGACCGAAAAGCGAAGCATGGGCAGATTCCAGTAAAAACAGTAGAAGTCCGACCGTGGGCAGAAATAGCAGTTGACACACTCGGACCTCTCGGAAGACACTATAAATGGCGGGCAATGACAACTGTAGACACCAGCACCCGACTAATGGAGATTACAGCTATGAAGGACGGAACGAGTGCAGAAGCTTCTAGAATTGTCGACCAAGTATGGTTTAATCGATATCCAAGATGTATTTGTGACCAGGGGGTGGGATTTCGGGGAGAATTTCGGGAATTGTTGGAAAGTTATGGTGTTGAACGAATTAGTACGACAGCAAAAAAAACGCAAGCCAGTGGTCATTGAGCGATTGCATCGCTCAATTAACAACAAATTACGCACAGAGTCGATCGCTACAGAGGAAGAATGGGAAAATTGTCTATCTTCTGTAATGTTTGGATTGCGAGCGCAGCATCACACGATGACGACTCTATCGCCTAGTCAGGCGGTATTCGGACGAGACATGCTATTCGATTACCCCTCTAACGTAGATTGGTGGCAACAGCTGCAACGGGAGCAGCTTCAGCTTGAGAGGGCCAATCGGCGAGAGAACGCGAACCGAGACGAGCATGAGTATCAACCAGAAGACTGGGTCATGGTGGCTCGTAACGATCCACGTTCCCCAAAACTACAAGCTCGATTTGAAGGACCGTATCAAGTATTTGCTGCTCGAGATAACGGAGCCTTACTGATTAACAAGGGCAAGTACATGGGAGGTATTCAGTTGCGCCGCGTCAACCCATTCAAGACAAGTAACATGGGGGAAGATGTTGTGCTACGCTGATGATAACTGACTTGATGGGTGACTTGGCAGCTATGTGCTGTGCGTACAGGAGACATTTAGGGCTTTCGTGAAGAATGCGAAGACAAGTTCTTGAGAATACCGTTAAGAGAATAGCACATGGAAACAAGCAGGAAAAGGATAATTCCTCAGTTATTAACAAGCTCACTTTTGATTCTACTTTCAAAGCGCCATTGACACAACAAAATGCTGGTGCTTCGTTCGCCTTCTTTGCATTGACCGCACCGAACGTAAGTCTTGCGGTGTGTGTGCAGAGATCTGATAGGGCACTGGACAAATAGCACTAATATAAACGTTGTGTCGCATTGATATAGAATTTTGTTGTGGCCGTATCACAAGGCAATCGTCGCAAACACGGACAAGAACCACCACAAACCAGCTCTGTGCATGAACGACATTTGGATCTGCAGCGGTTGCTGTTATTATAATTAAATGCTGCTGTTTCTCTGCACGACAGGCGGAGAAAAGGATGAGATGGTGGCTGTAGCTGAGGCGAAGAGGACCGATCATTTATATGTCTTGTTGAATTTGTCTCGTCTAGTTGACGAACCGCGATATTTTTGAAAATGCCGGTGCGTTAATGTTTTGCTGTAATACTGTGTATGTGTATGATTGTAGCGTTCCGGTCACCACACAAGCGAGAAGGTTCTTTTTTACGCATTTGGTGGGACACTAGTGGTGGCTAACAGGACGGTCTACAGTAGAAAATATCTAGAAATGTTGAGCTTAAAGCTTCTCGTTGCTTTCACTATCAACCAAGTGCATGAATTCACCACTTCCTCCATAGGTAAGATTACACTGAGAATACCTTTAGGTATGGACAGCCCACACCGGATTAATTCCACGGTACTGCGTAACTCGGGTGGTTCACATGGAATGTAAGCTGAATGTCGAGCAAATGTTTGCTGCCAGGTTGCAGTATCTAACACTAACGTGCTCGTCGTGAACTCTCACAATACAGCGCATTTGCTCTTTAGACCTGCCGAGCAGCTGAAACGCCGGCGAAAAGAAAGCATGAGGGTGTCTCGTGAGCAAAAAGAGAAAGGTATCTATTCGATGCTATAACGTCTCTGCTACTTTGATTACTATTGTTCGTTCAGGTTATGGTGAAATACCTACCAGGCGGGCTACAGTAAACGGGACCATACGGCAGCTTATATGAGGAAGTACCGAGTGTTCCAAAAACAAGTAATTGACAAAAACTCTGCAGGTGGTTTCTTACTGAGCCTGCTTTTACTTTTTAGATTTGGGTGCTGTTTTAAATAAAGTTTGCGTTTACAGGACGCATTGTGCAGTAAGTAATTGAACCTACTGAAGCAAATATCGAGCCGGAAAGAATCGAAGAACGCTTGCAATCTCTCGCGAAGTCTGCCTTGTTGCCAAAACGAAATTTCAGAAGGAGATATTTTACTTATGGCAAACAACCCAGCGTATACAGGAGATCCGCGACTCGCTCTCGCTTATTATTACTGCTGTGCTGGACATCCCGATGCGCTCGCCTTCAATGACGATAGTGTTCGTGAAAGTGGAGATGTCAAAGAAAGGTTTTTCTCTGACATCTTCAAAACACGGTTCAGGCTACAATTGTTGACGCTATGATTGACACCGTTACTACGAAATATATTACTGTAGTACGACGAGGTGCTGCTCCAATAGTTGAGTGGGATGAAAATGGTCATTAAATAGCTGGTGCGTTTCCAACGCTATTCATGATGGGTGATGAAATGCTCCGATCTGGGTCTTTTTCAAGTGACCTGTGCCGTCATTTAATGTCATATCACGATGGAAGATTTGAAGGAAACGGACGCTTGTTGCTACACTTTTCAACCAGCTACAGCGTCATGCCGTGGTAAGAAAAGCTGCGCGGGCTGCAGCTACACATGCACAAACACTGAAAAAAACGTGGAGAGCTAGCAAGCTCTCCTGAATTTGAAAAATCTTCTCTCGCGGCAAAACAAAATCCTGACCCAGCTACTGCTAACGTCTGAACGCAAGTTTGTTACGAATGTTATCGGTCGTGTGTGGGACAGTCCCGTTTTCTCCTTTCGAACGCGCAGTGACTAGACCCAAGGTATCCGCAATGCGATATCGGTTTGGATTGCCCCATTCTTGGGTAACCGTGGCTCAATTTCAGAGTCGATCTAAACAGTTTCTTTAGCAAAGCGCTCGCAAGTCGCGTAAAGGCATTCAAGCAGGTAGAGGCAAAACCCCCGTAGATTACATAGTGAAATGAAGTAAAACAATGTGGCCCCTTTTTTTGCAGGAGGTGACGTTGTAACGTTTAGCCAATAGAAGTAAATTCTGAAGAGCGATAGGAAAAATACGTTAAAATGTATGCCTTCGGGTTAACTAAGAAAACTATAATTTGTTTGTTTATCCTAACCCTGACCAGGCTGCTATATGAACGGAGCTGTTTCCGATTTTGTATTATTGTAGGCGACATTGCACATTGGGCCAGAAATTGTAACCCATCCTATGCAGACTGTAAAAAGTCTAATAATTGTCTGTTTGATATAAATAAAAGTGCTATATATAACTTAGTGTCTTGAGAGGGCGGTAGAACTCATCAATTAGCCAGAAGCATCCTTTAAGGTCAGCGAAAATGTCCGGCAAGCACGAGTTCTGCCCAGGAGAGAAGCGGATGATTGTGAACAGCTACGAGTATTTCAAAAGCCAGAAGGAACAAGGCCTCTTCAAAGGCATCAGGACACGCCAACTGGTCTCTGATTGCCTTGGTTGTGCTCGTGGTTAATGAGAAAAAGAATAACCCAGACACTGATTTTGAGGTATATCAATTATAACTGATATTGTAATATTTCCTTTTTAAACTAATATTTGTACAGAGCCCAGTGAAAACGACAGAGGTCGAAAGCGAGATTATGACCTGACGGATATCGAGCCTACAATCCGTCAATTCATCGAACGAGAAAATATAGCTGTTAGACCAACTACAGCTACTCGCATTAGCCTCCATCTGCAAGAAGTGACAGGGACCCATCTTGCTGATCGTACAATGCAACGAGTTTTATGTGAGCTAGGTTTTCGCTACGTGAAAGGTGAAAACAGGCACATGTACGCAGATTCCGAAGCAAATGTTGCTTTTCGTAACGAGTATCTAAGGAAAAAAATTGCGAATCGAGTCGGTGACGCAGTTGATCGACCAGAAGTTTATTTGGACAAATCATTCTGCAATGCAAAATATGTTCGCGGCCAGACGTGGCTCTCGTCAGATAATATTCGCTACAACAAAAATGGAAAAGGCGACCGGTATTATGTTTTTTTTTTTACTTTTTGTAATTTTACTGACTGTTTTGGTAGTGCATGTATTGTTGCGGCATGTATTGTAGCAAGTAGGGGGCGTACAACCTACGCCAAGTTTGTAGAGGGGTCTATACAATGCTGGAACGCGTCAAAAAAGCGAAAGCAAGATGAAACCGAGGACTATCATGGCAACTTCAACTCTGAGTTGTTTGAAGCGTGGTTCGAGAAGTTGTGCAAGACGTTGGAGGACAATTATGGTGGCTGTAACATCCACATGGATGGCGCCGGGTATCACAAGCAGATGACCAACTTAATGCCAACAACGAAGTCACTGCGAAGTTGGCTCGAAGCTCACATTAATACAGTCGGTAAGTTTTTTTTTAATAATGAAAATCGCTAATTTTTTATATTTTCTCAGTCATGTTGGTTTACAACCGAGCTGCCAACAGAGATGTACTGCTCAGTTTGGCCAAACTCAACAAACCGAAGGCCGTTTACGCGGCTAACACCATTGCAACACGCTACAACAATCGACCGTACTACACGCCGCCTGTGGTGTTTTCCGGAAGTTGAAGTAACACCAAACACCAAGCAGGGCAGGTGGCAAGCCTGCGGGAAACTTGTAGCCTAGTGTATTGATGTAGGCTATTGCTAGCAGATTGTAGAGTGAGAGGATAAGTTAGTCGTCACCAACCCTCCGTCTTCAATGAACTGTACAGCTTGATGCTGGTGACAGCATCAAAGGTAACATGCAAGACAGCCAGAGATTCCACTTGGATCACTGGCGGTCTGTCCTACAAGATCCATTAATATTTAGCCAGGTAGAGGATACTAACTTGGACGCGCCAGAGTCAGGCACCTCTCCGTCTGTGATAAACCTGGATGCACCAGGTTGCTCACTGTCTAGTCGGCAGCTTGATGGCAGTGGAATCCGGCTTGATACCTGTGATTCACCACACAGCCCCCAAAGCTTGATTCCGCGGCCGAACTTCGACTACCCCTATTATAGCCTTGGCAGTCAGATCTATGTCTGGCCCTGGTCGATCATGGAGCAGCTCTTCGCTTCAGCCTTGGATGTTTACTCTCTCGTGCTGGTGAGGGTCACCTGTCTGTTGACTCCAGTAGTTCGTGAGCGAGTACGTCTACTCACACTTTCACCAGTGTTTGTAGTCGGTTGGTTGTTGTCAGATCCAAGTTCAACCCCTGTCATCTGTGGCACAACTGCAGCGGGGAGACTTCTATCGGGTATCTGAACATTTGTTGTTAAACGCAGCGGTCGTCGACGCCTGGACCTCCGGCGACTCTTGTCCGTCGGCCTTACCGTCTCTGTCGCGACTGTCCGTCCTTGTTGAGCTGTTTCTCCAGCCGTGGTCGCGCGCTGCCAGTGTGCCTTGAGCTCTTGATCAGCAGCAGCCACGTACTGGTTCACTAGGATGGGAACGTCCCTAGCCAAACTGGCCAGTGGTTCATAGGAGTCCTCAATGGCCTCGAGTCCTTTCCATTGAACCAAGATTTCAAAATCACTAATTGCAGTGTTCCACCTGTGGCTCTTGAACTTCTCGATCGCCAAGACGATTCTTTGCGACGAGATGTGTTCCAGGAGCTCCTCGGTGACGTCCAGACTGGAGTCTGCATAGAACTTCAGTCTTGAGGCATGGACATCTAACACAGCCCCGGTGATGAGGTGTTTGATTGAGAATGAATGTGCGTCAGCACGTTCAACGCGATATGGTCCCACCCACGTCACAAGCAACTTATTACTCCTCTTCTCGTCCACCCTCGAGCGTAGAACATAGTCGCCTTCCGTAAAATTCACAATATTCTCACCACGTTCTCGTTTCTTGTTCAGCATCCTTTGCTTCATGCGTTGATCCTCAACCACCTTATGCATGGCTTGTATGCTGTTGCGCAGGTCATCGAGAAAACCATTGATCTTGTCACTTGTGGGCACCTCCTTGAACTCCCCAGTACTAGGCAGGTAAAATTCTCGGAGAGGTGTCGGACACGGTAATCCAGTAAATAACTCAACGGGGCTCTATTACCCAACGATGGCACTGCTGTGTGGTTGAGGCTCGATCGTACCATTGGTATCAAGTAGACCCAGTCGCGGTGAGCAATCTTGTACTCCAGGATCATTGTTCGGATCACTTGGAGGATGTCTCTGTTTACGCGCTCTACCGACCCGTCACGGGCAATAGACAGGCGTGAACTCCTGCTGCGTTCGCAGGCGGCGTGAAAGCTCACTCACCACTTCGTTTTTGAAATGGGAGCCTTGATCTGAAATCCATTTCGGTGGCAGTCCAAACCGAGAATGCCAATCAAGGAACGCTTCAACTGTCACTGCACTGTCGGCTGTGTCTGCCGTGACCAGCTCACAGAAATGGGTGGCATGATCTTTAAGCACCAAGATGTACTTGGAGTCTCCAAAACCATCACCCATCGAAAGGAAATCAAAATGTAGCAAACCATTGCGTTCACTGCTTTCAAACGTTTCACCCCAAGGTCTGGGGATGATATTCCCCCCTTTTGAATGCAGGCACAGACGACACTGGCGGACGAAAGTGGACGCTATAGGGCGCAGGTTCTCCAGCGCAAACAAACGTCGAATATGTTCCACCATGGCGGCAATTCCGCGGTGGCCTTGTGCGCCACAATGTGCAATGATGAACAACCGCGTGATGAGGTCCTTCGCCTCTACAGGAATCCAGACCCGATTATTGAGCGCAAGAACACCAGCCTCAGTACGCTCGACGCCTTGTGGGGGTTCGTATCGGGACTGAACCAGCGAAATCTCTGAAAACGTAGGCCACACAAAATTGGCATCGTCCAGAGGGCGAAACGCCGAAATGCTCAGCTCCGTCGCCTCCGTAGTTGACTCTTGTTGAGGTGCAGCTGAAGGCGAGCGAGTCCTCTGGATCGTGGCGGTGCCAGTAGCGTGATTTCCGGCCCACCTGCTGATCATGTCGGCCCAAACGTTCTGGGGTCCAGCGATATGTTCAATCACGTAGTTGTAGTTCATCAGTTTTAGAGCCCACCGTAACAGTTTTCCTTTCACATGCTTCTTGACATGTTCGTCCGGGGCGAAGACATGGATCAAATTACGATGGTCACAAAACAATCGAAAGCCCTGGGGTCTCAGCAGCAAGTAATCTAGTTTGTCACAGGCGAAAGCGATTGGAAACGCTTCTTTCTCTATCACTGTCCAATTGAGCTGGCTCCCAGTGAACGTCCCGCTCAAACATTCAACAAGCTGGTGCTGCTGGTCCTGGACAGGGACGTTAGGGTTGTAGCCCTTAATTTGAGTCACGATTAGCGCCCAGCCAATATCCGATGCGTCTGTTAGCAGGCACGTAGTTGCTGAATCATCAGGGAAAGCGAGCGTAGCAGATGAAGCCAGCATTGCCTTCACTCTGTCAAATGTAGCCTTCTCATTAGCGCTAAACTCGATCAAAATTCCAGCTGCCTCTCGCTTCGTACGGCGGGTTTTCGCCAAAGCTTCGTCCAGTTTGTGTTGAAGAGGAGAAACTTGACGGGCATAGTCAATGAGACTCTCGCGCATCCAGTTTGTGGCGCAAAGAAATTGCTGCAGCTCCCCAGCCGTACTTGGATATGGCATTGCACAGAGTGTTTCAATCCGGGCAGGGTCGTGACGTACACCGTTGGCATCAATAAACTTGCCGCACCACTTCACGTCCTGTTGGTATAGACTGGACTTCTTCACACTGAGCTTCAGGCCAAACTCATCCAATAGTGAAAACAACTCCTTCAGTTTCTCCAAATACGTGTTGATGTCTTCTGCATAAAGTAACAGATCGTCAATCCATACAAGAAGATGTTTGTAGAGTAGTGTAGCAAAACACTTCTCCATTGTCTTCTGGAAGTAGATTGCAGCATCACCACAGCCTTGGGGGACACGTCGAGGAGTGTAGATCTTCTCATCAGTCATATACGAAAGCCATTCCTGGCAGAACTCAGCAAGAGGTAGCTGCCCGAAACCCTTAATGAAATCGAAAAGTCCAAAGTGTTTGTTTCCACGTGCATTTTCCATTACCAAAGAAAGTATCGGCATCACGGCAGCCATAATGTCCGTTCTTGAATTAAATTCGCGGTAATCCGTAGTCTGACGCATGTCCATTAGCTCTTAAGACTTTTTGACGGGTAGTACGGGGCTTGCCCACCGGCTTGTAGGGTTCTCGTAGATCCATCCTAGTTCAACAAGCATAGTGTTAAACTCCCGTAAGAATTGGCGAACATGCGGAGGATATTTGCGGGGCTTACATTTGCATGGCTTAGCCCCCTCCTTCAAACGCACTTCGAGCGGCGGGACACGCGCAGGTGGATCGTCACGGAGTTCCAAACGCCACACATCGTACATGTGTACAATCACTCGCAACTTATCCACTTTGTCCGGTGGAAATCCATTCTTCAAGGCCCTTTCTATTAGAACCTCAACTGCAGCACGAACTTCTTCGTCACTGGCCACATGAGTCGGATTTGCAGGGAGTTCGTCAGCTTCCAACTTGAAAGGGTCTCCACTAGTTTCATCATCCACGTGAGAGGCAAGTTGTTCCAATTGACGATCCACATCAATACCTAAAGACGTTAACAGATCTCGTCCAATGATAAATTCATCATCATCCACATCCATGATGAGGCACGGCACAGTTTCCGCTAGTTGTACCGGTCCAGCAGCCGTGTGGATCAAAACATGTAGCACTGCCTTTTTCGTAGCCGCGACCGGGTGAGAACCATACGCTAGGCTGCGTGCCGATGTGTCCAAAGGAATTTCCTGCGCCGTTGGGTCAACTTCAAGCAATGATTTCCACTGCGAACGGCTAATCACGGTATGATCTGAGCCAGTATCTGGGCAACAGGGCAAATCCAAAACGCCATTAATCGTCACAGTACGGGAAGTGGACGGCATCAGCCTTTTTAATCTCTTCGTGCGAGATTTTCTTGCTTTGGACGCTTCACGAAGCTTCCCACGTAGTACGACCTTCTCTGCTTCAGTCGCTTTCGTACAATCGCTGAGCCAGTGCATTTCTTGGCATTTTGGGCATGGAGAAGGTGGCTCTTTACGCGAAGCAGGTTGTTTCTCTTTCTTCTTGTCAGTCTTCTTTTCGACCTTCCTTTCAGCATTCGTCTGCTTGAACTTCTTCTTCTCAGGCTCAGTATTAGCAGCCTTCTTCGACTGGACGGCAGCCTTCCCAGTGTCCTTCGCAGATTTGGATTGAGTGGATTTGTCCCTCACCATCAGCCGCATTCGCTTATTTTGCTGGAAATGGCGTTCATGTTGAACAGCCTTCTCGTAAACCAGCGTGTATAGCTCCTGCATGCTCCTACCAGCCTCTTTATGAGTCCACCGAACGGCATTCTTAACGTCCTCCTTCAGAACGGGAGGGGCAAGGCTTGACATGAGGCGTTTGCACTTTTCAGTCTCACCATCAATGCCAGAAAAAACCTCTTCAAGCCCATGTTCGAGGACGATTTCAGCAAAACGCTGGAAGTAGGATAACACGCGGGCGTCTACATCAGTCTCTTTGAGATCCATCTGTAGTTCCCTCGCAAACAGC